CCTACGTCTTAACTTTCACTCGTACCTATATATTAAAATCAAATTATGTCTTGTAATATTTCATTAGATATTTATAAACGCAATCAACTTGCCACAGATAGGTACTAAATACGAAAGTACTGTTTTAATACCCTTTAATGATTTATGTAACTGGGAAGCTTTTAATACATTTTTGAAGTTATACTTCTTTAGGCGCTTTATGAAAAATTGATGAGAGTGAAATTTTACGCGCACCGTGACACAAAATTAACAGAATGAAGTTGCGCACTAACGAATTCTTTTTAAACCAGCCGGGCGCCGAGCGTGTGCGAGCGAAATGGGAATAAGACAATCTACAAGTAAAAAGAAAAAGAATATGCGTGAAGTTAGCAGCTATGCCAAGAATTTTGAATGACCATAATGACCTTTGTAGTACCTTTTAAACAAATAAAGGAGTTTTAATTATTTTTTCAAAGAAATTTAGCAATGCTTTTTCACAAAGACCTATTGTTACTTAGTTAAAAGGTTATGAAAAACACCTAGTTATTAAATTAAATGAATAATATAATAAAATAATAAATAATAATAATTATTATTATTATTAATATTAATTAATAATTGAATAAAATATTATTAAATTATTAACGTTAAATATTTATTATTAATTATTTAATATTTTAAAAAAATAAAGAAAGCCAAAGAAGTATAACTTCTTACGCGTGTACATAAGTACACGCACCCTTTTTTTATTTACTTTATAGAGATGAAAAAATGTTTATAAGAAACATTAATATGGTTAAAAAAAATTAGCATTGTATTGAGGCCATTGACCTCATGCCAAAGTGTCAAAAATCAAATTTAAATCTTTAGTAACAGTTAGTACGAAGTAATTATTCAGTATCCAGGAATCAAAAACGAGTATCGAGCCTTCGTAAATCATCCAAGACTTGACTTTGAACTTGGACAGTCGCGGACGAAAGCGTTTTAAATATTACTTAAGTATTGTAAACACACACAACTTAACACGTTATCTAAAAAGCGTTTATTAATTTATCAATAAACAGTTCTTAATTCAATGTATTGTACACTTGAAAGTCTCCTACACTTCAAAGACTTTTAGAATATAATAAAGACAGTATATATGGGGTTATGTAGTTAGTGCAAAATTTTCTGGACTATGATACTCCAATGGGATGTCCGACACGAACGAACTATTGTGTGATCATCTCATCATTGAATTATTATGAAATATGAATAATGGGAAGGAGTGTCCATCGTACAATCTTGGAATTTTTCGCCGAAACAAAAGTAAAACCAATTGTGTTTGCGTCGCGCCCAAAAGTGTTCATACGTTACGTACGGTTATGTGCCTACTTGACTTTTTGCTGTTAGGGCAATTCATACGAGCGTTACATCTATGTTCAAAAAAGCTCACCCCTCTCGAGGGAGTGCGCAGCATGAACCATAACATCGATAGCTTTGATCGGATACATCATATCGGACCGGTCAAATCCTCAAATTAGATATAAAATATAGATTATTGATAGTGCACCTCATATCGGGTTGATTTAATTGTCATATTTAATTACGTTCAATAACTGTAATAAATTGATTAAAGTTATTTGAAAATATTTTGTTTTTTTGGGATTCACCGCTGGGCCTCACTTATTTTGTATGTAAATAAGATGTGGATAAATAAAGGCTTATTATTATTATCAAGATTGAATAAGTATACCCAATTTAGAATTAGGCATAGACATAACATTTATTACTAACAAAACACACACACGGAAACACACAAAATAACAGTATTCAAAATAAAAAATAAATAATAGTTAAAAAAAACTAAAAAACACGCTTTTAAAGCACAAAAAATACTGGTATTATTGTGAAAAAGCGTGGGGCGCTCTGTGCCATATTTTTCGTCAAAATCGAGTCCGAAGGAGTCGGTTACATACATACATACATACATACAGGTGAAGCTAATATAAAGCGTGTAAAAAGAATAAGAATAAACAATTTTTTTTTCTTTTAAAGAACAAGGTACGTTTTAAGTGTGTAATGCGGTAGTAATTGGCCCTATTAACGAATTACAGCGCGTTATTAACAAAGGTACCTTCTAAACTGTTTTTAGCGTTATGAAAAGGCCGCTCATATGAAGACCCCTTACTCACACTTGAATTTCGTGGAGTATTTATGTTGCAAGCGACCAATTCCAAGGACGGATTCAAGTTCAAAGAATATAATAACATCGAATTGTTGAGGATTTATCAGGAAACGGTACATGATATTTGTTAATAACTTTCTCAAAAGCTATCATTTACTTTTTAATTTGGGGGATTGAGGCCAAAATTACAATTCGTTACTTAATTGTCTAACACTTTGATCCTGAAAGATGCGTTTATCAAATAAATAAAGCAACACTCAGTACTAGTACTCTTCATTAGTCTCTAACATCGAAAGCCCAGAAGTTTTTCTAGTGTAATGTTTTTTTCTTTAATCTGTTATTCTAGAAGTTTCTGATATACATATATCGAAACAAAGAGAGAAAAAATCAAATGTACACTCGAGGCAATAAAAATATATATTTTTAATAATCAGTCAACCTAGCCCTTCTCATGAGTAATCCATAAAATACGTATTAACTATTAACTTTACAAGAACTCTGGCTTCAGCGGAGTCACATGATCCGATCCCTTTTCATTTCAATCTCGAGGCCATTGATTATCAAATCTTGTTAATGCTGTATAAAAATCTTCTCCACACAGCAAAGGCTTAGCTTATCACTGATTGTGATAAGGAATATATTATTTAAATGTGCGCAAAGACAAGCCCTCTCTCCATTCTATAAGTTCTCCGGTGGCAAAGTCCAGCACCACCTCTTATTAGTTTGACGTGGTTTTTTGTAGGAAGCGCCTTTTGTTTAATTCCCGATTTCGAATCCCAGACCTCTAAACGTTCTCAACATTCTTAGATTTAACTTAGAATTCATAATCTATTGACTTATTTCACTTAAAATTTGCACTTATTCTTAGGTTCATTAACAAAATACAAGTTTTCCAATCAATTAAAGTATCATTTTCTAATGGGCAAACGTTTTGACAGCTTCGAGTGATACACGTTTATAGCAAATATGAGCCCGATCATTCACCCTCAAGAATCTAAGGGAAATTGGGAATTTATGTATATTTCGTGTATTTTAAAAGTTACTTTGTCATAAATTACTGCTTACTTAATGTTTTCCACTGTAAAAGGTGCAAAAGTATTTCCTGGGATTTATACATAATAATATACTACTGACATTATGTAGGACTTCATTGGCAGTGGAAGACTTTTATGACAATTCTAAATAAATTTTGGTTTTTGTAAAACATAGTATAATTCATAGGAAATACCTAGCAGGAGCTTGTGCTAAAAACGCGTAGACCCAACGGATACAATTAACGGATCAAATCTTCGACGACCGTCGTGAAGCTTGCGATTACTTGAAGCGATTTAGCGCTTCTAGGAGTTAGGCTGAAGTTGCCAACGGTATTTCTATACCAAATAGAGTCTTGACTAATTACGGGACAACTGATCCAGAATCTAATTTAAATATAAAAATAAAATAAATCAGTGGCGCTACAACCTCTTTAGGTCTTGGCCTCAGATTTCTGAATCTGTTTCATGATCATTTTTAAATCTAATACAAACTAAGGCAAGCAGATGATAGGCCTCCAGTACCTATCACACGCCGTCCAATTTTTGGGGTCTAAGATATGTCGGTTTCCTCACGATGTTTTCCTTCACCATTGGAGCGAATGTTAAATGCGCACATAGAAAGAAAGTCCATTGGTGCACAGCCGGGGATCGAACCTACGACCTCAGGGATATGAGTCGCACGCAGAAGCTAGGCCAACAATGGTCGAATCAATTCAAATATAAGCTGTTGGTATCTTTTATGAAATATAAAAGATATTTAGAAAACGTATCCTCAGAAGGATCCTATCGGGGTTAAAACTTATACGATACTAAAGTAAAAATTGACAAAGTACCTACTTACATACATTTTATTTATTTAAAAATAATACATACGTTTTACACAACAAAAAGTTACAATGGTGGCGCCAACCAAATTAATTGAATTAATATAAAGATTTTATTATTAAAATAATAAATTAAAACCATTATTAATTTCATTATTACATAGCAAAATCATACTTCTTAAATCTAATCATGCTTAGGAGCTCCTTACAAACACGATGCCACTTAAAATAATTTTTACACATTCACTTATTTACACGGAAAATAACAAACTTATTCAATACAAATTGTTATGGAATAAAATTAATGTGTTAATAAGACAAGTGTAAAATAGCTATAAAATATGGCAACACCGCTCCGCCGTCTAGGAGGAAATTCTCAGGCTAGAAGTAAGCTTAATGAAATAGAAGAAATCACTGGAGCTTTTTCAATTCTGATCGAAGGAAAGAAAACTCAGATCTACTTCATACACAAATTTTGCGCCTGTTGTTTTTCCATTTATTCTGACACAAGAAAGCCTAAAGTAAAAGTATTATGCCAAAGAATTGAAGTGACAGGTTGTATATCTGAATATTTCTAAAGAGTTTATAGATTGAGGGCTGAAGTGCTGTTATTTTCAAACTGCTCCTTTTGCTAATATTATTCAGTCTTTACTCTCCCGATTTCTG